ACCCTCTGTAGATGGTTGTCTGGTTCTTGTCGTCCTTCACCGAGACCTCCATCGGCTGGGGCTCAGCCTGCAGCAGCATAAGCGTGGTCCTGTGGAAGATTCCGTAGGTGGCCAGGGTCTTGCCGTCCTCCAGGATGGGGGTGTTCCCCCTCGGGCCCTGCTGCCCCAGGCGCTGCCTGTACTGAGGGATTCCCCACTGCTGCTCGATCATCTCCTTCAGCTGCCTGATGGTGGTGTCCAGGCTGACGGTCATACTCAGGCTGGTGCCCGACAGCTGCTTCACCTCAATCATCACGGGCCGGGCCGGCTGCGGGGACAGGAGAATGGGTGGGCAAAGCCGGCAGGGGCTGAGGGACCGCGATGGCCGCAGGTACCGGCAGCCTTACCTGCACAACCCAGGGCTGGACGGCGCAGACACAGGGCAGCGAAAGGTCATGGGCAGCTTCCTTTGCCACCAGGTCCCACTTACTGTCTTGGCCCAGGATGCCCGTGGGGTCGGCGGGGTCCAGGATGATGGGCCTGCAAACACAGAGGCTGGGGGCTGCCACCAGCCCCGGGCAGCACCGCGGGGCGGGTGGCACGGTTCCCACCAGGCACGGTACTCACCGGTGTCCGTGAAGCACATTCTTCACGTAGGTGCCTATCTGGCTGTGCTGGAGCGAGTAGCACGTCTCCCAGTAGACGCAGATCTCCCTGTGTCGGCGCAGCAGCTCCAGCACCGTACGGAAACCTGCGGCCGTGTCGAAGGATTCGCTGGAGTCTGTGCCCTGCTCCCAGGCATAGATGGTCAGCAGCTCCACAGCATACTTGGGGGGCAGGTCCTCGCTGTGGTACCGTGGCTTCACCCGCTGTGGAGAAGATGGAGATGGGGGTGAGAGCTGGCCGGGGCGGGTGCCCGGTGGGTGCCAGGGAAGCTGGGCAGCCCCTCACCTCCTTGTACCAGTGCTTGACCAGGCGCAAGAGGTTCTTCAGCTTGGCGGGGAAACGCTTCACAAACTTCTTCTGCAGTTCGGTGAAGCAGGGGGAGAACTCCCCGGGGCCACTCTTGGTTCTCAGAAGCTCCGTGTACGCCGCCTCGTACAAATTTGCGTTCATCCAGGCGTCCCGGCTTATCTGCCCTGTGGGGTGAGGAGGGTGAGAGTCATCCCGGCACTGACACCACAGCCCGGCCCCGCACCAGCCCGCAGCCCTTACCCAAGGCGTCATAGGCGGGCAGGATGTCCACTTCGGTGGACTCCAAATTCTTGGAGTAGAGAGTGAGGCTGAGGGAGCGTGGTGTATTGCCAGGACCCTTGTACCGGGGCTCACTGATGGCCACGGTGAACGTCAGGCTCTGCGTGCAGGCGTGCAGCCTCGTCTTGATCAAATCCAGAATAGCCTTTCTATTCTGCTTCTGGTCCTGGTAGCTGGAGAAGCAGCTGAGGAAGAGCACCACGTCGGCGTCGGAGTTGTTTCGCAGAGCTGTGCCTTTGCCCGCCGAGCCGCCCTGCAGAGAGATGCTCTGCCCGCTCAGCACGGCTGTCCCTCGGCACCGGGATCGCCTGCCACCATTCCTGGGGCTGCCAGGGGAAACTGAGGCAGGGCATGAACTGGAGCGGCAGGACAGAGGGAAGGGTGGCAGCAAGGGGTGCTGGTCGGTCCCCGTGCCAGGCAGTACTCACCTTGACGGTCTTGTTGACATGGATGTTGGTGCCCTTCAGGAAGCAGTCCTCCTTCAGGAAGTCACAGATCTGCTTCACCGTCTGCTTCACCTGGTTGCTGAACTCTGTGCTGGGCTGCAGGTTGTCCATGACCCAGGTGTCTAGGTCTTTGGCAGTCACCGTTGTCAGCCCGTTCGTGGATGGCACCTGCCTCATTGCCATCCTGCCGGCTGTGGTCGTTCCCTCTGCACTCTCCTGACTTGCTGCTTTCCCTCTCTCCACTCCTCCCTGCAGCGCTCTGCCTGCTCCTGCCTGCAGCAGCTTTTAAACCTTCCCGAGACGCCACCCCGATGGCGTCACCGCCGGGAAATTAAGGTGGCCCTGGTCCCGGGGTTTCGCCTTTCCCCAGCCCCTGGTCCTGGCTCCCCGGGGGTCCCCAGGGTGCCCCCGGTGCCACCGGAGGGGGCAGGAGGGGCTGCGTGGCACGGCCATCACTCCGGCGCCCGTCTGAGGGGCAGCAGCGACAGTGGCAGCGCAGGCAGCTGCCTGCAGGCTGGGTCTGGGGTGCTGCAGGACCTCATAGCCCAGGGGTGTCTGCGCTGGCACAGGGTCTCCCCTGGGTGCTCAGCTGGCCGGAGGCAGTGTCCCACCACGGGGACCCTGTGCTGTGCCCTGCCTGGGTCTGGGGGTGTCCTGCCTGCCCCAGCGCCTGCCCGCACCCACGCCGGGGGCTCAAGTGTCCAGGCTGGGGCGCAGCCAGCGCTGGGATATGGCTGGTGCTGGTGGCATGGTGTCACCCCAGGCAATGGGACATGGCTGGGGTTGGTGTCACCAGAAGCCCTGGTATCACTATAGTAAATGAGATGCAGCCAGTGCCAGTGCCACTGTGGGACCTGGTGTCAACCCAGCAATGGGATGTGGCTGGTGCCAGCATCATCGGGGGTGCTGCTGTCACCCCCGGCAATGGGACATGGGTGGTGCCAGCATCACTGGGGGTTCTGGTATCACCCTGGCAATGGGACGTGGCTGGTGCCAGCATCACCGGGGGCTCCTGGTGTCACCCCCAGCAATGGGACATAGGTGGTGCCAGCATCACTGAGGGTTCTGGTATCACCCCAGCAATAGGACATGGCTGGTGCCAGCATCACCAGGGGTGCTGGTGTCACCCCCAGCAATGGGACATGGGTGGTGCCAGCATCACTGGGGGTTCTGGTATCACCCTGGCAATGGGACGTGGCTGGTGCCAGCATCACCGGGGGCTCCTGGTGTCACCCCCAGCAATGGGACATAGGTGGTGCCAGCATCACTGAGGGTTCTGGTATCACCCCAGCAATAGGACATGGCTGGTGCCAGCATCACCAGGGGTGCTGGTGTCACCCCCAGCAATGGGACATGGGTGGTGCCAGCATCACTGGGGGTTCTGGTATCACCCTGGCAATGGGACGTGGCTGGTGCCAGCATCACCGGGGGCTCCTGGTGTCACCCCCAGCAATGGGACATAGGTGGTGCCAGCATCACTGAGGGTTCTGGTATCACCCCAGCAATAGGACATGGCTGGTGCCAGCATCACCAGGGGTGCTGGTGTCACCCCCAGCAATGGGACATGGGTGGTGCCAGCATCACTGGGGGTTCTGGTATCACCCTGGCAATGGGACGTGGCTGGTGCCAGCATCACCGGGGGCTCCTGGTGTCACCCCCAGCAATGGGACATAGGTGGTGCCAGCATCACTGAGGGTTCTGGTATCACCCCAGCAATAGGACATGGCTGGTGCCAGCATCACCAGGGGTGCTGGTGTCACCCCCAGCAATGGGACATGGGTGGTGCCAGCATCACTGGGGGTTCTGGTATCACCCTGGCAATGGGACGTGGCTGGTGCCAGCATCACCGGGGGCTCCTGGTGTCACCCCCAGCAATGGGACATAGGTGGTGCCAGCATCACTGAGGGTTCTGGTATCACCCCAGCAATAGGACATGGCTGGTGCCAGCATCACCAGGGGTGCTGGTGTCACCCCCAGCAATGGGACATGGGTGGTGCCAGCATCACTGGGGGTTCTGGTATCACCCTGGCAATGGGACGTGGCTGGTGCCAGCATCACCGGGGGCTCCTGGTGTCACCCCCAGCAATGGGACATAGGTGGTGCCAGCATCACTGAGGGTTCTGGTATCACCCCAGCAATAGGACATGGCTGGTGCCAGCATCACCAGGGGTGCTGGTGTCACCCCCAGCAATGGGACATGGGTGGTGCCAGCATCACTGGGGGTTCTGGTATCACCCTGGCAATGGGACGTGGCTGGTGCCAGCATCACCGGGGGCTCCTGGTGTCACCCCCAGCAATGGGACATAGGTGGTGCCAGCATCACTGAGGGTTCTGGTATCACCCCAGCAATAGGACATGGCTGGTGCCAGCATCACCAGGGGTGCTGGTGTCACCCCCAGCAATGGGACATGGGTGGTGCCAGCATCACTGGGGGTTCTGGTATCACCCTGGCAATGGGACGTGGCTGGTGCCAGCATCACCGGGGGCTCCTGGTGTCACCCCCAGCAATGGGACATAGGTGGTGCCAGCATCACTGAGGGTTCTGGTATCACCCCAGCAATAGGACATGGCTGGTGCCAGCATCACCAGGGGTGCTGGTGTCACCCCCAGCAATGGGACATGGGTGGTGCCAGCATCACTGGGGGTTCTGGTATCACCCTGGCAATGGGACGTGGCTGGTGCCAGCATCACCGGGGGCTCCTGGTGTCACCCCCAGCAATGGGACATAGGTGGTGCCAGCATCACTGAGGGTTCTGGTATCACCCCAGCAATAGGACATGGCTGGTGCCAGCATCACCAGGGGTGCTGGTGTCACCCCCAGCAATGGGACATGGGTGGTGCCAGCATCACTGGGGGTTCTGGTATCACCCTGGCAATGGGACGTGGCTGGTGCCAGCATCACCGGGGGCTCCTGGTGTCACCCCCAGCAATGGGACATAGGTGGTGCCAGCATCACTGAGGGTTCTGGTATCACCCCAGCAATAGGACATGGCTGGTGCCAGCATCACCAGGGGTGCTGGTGTCACCCCCAGCAATGGGACATGGGTGGTGCCAGCATCACTGGGGGTTCTGGTATCACCCTGGCAATGGGACGTGGCTGGTGCCAGCATCACCGGGGGCTCCTGGTGTCACCCCCAGCAATGGGACATAGGTGGTGCCAGCATCACTGAGGGTTCTGGTATCACCCCAGCAATAGGACATGGCTGGTGCCAGCATCACCAGGGGTGCTGGTGTCACCCCCAGCAATGGGACATGGGTGGTGCCAGCATCACTGGGGGTTCTGGTATCACCCTGGCAATGGGACGTGGCTGGTGCCAGCATCACCGGGGGCTCCTGGTGTCACCCCCAGCAATGGGACATAGGTGGTGCCAGCATCACTGAGGGTTCTGGTATCACCCCAGCAATAGGACATGGCTGGTGCCAGCATCACCAGGGGTGCTGGTGTCACCCCCAGCAATGGGACATGGGTGGTGCCAGCATCACTGGGGGTTCTGGTATCACCCTGGCAATGGGACGTGGCTGGTGCCAGCATCACCGGGGGCTCCTGGTGTCACCCCCAGCAATGGGACATAGGTGGTGCCAGCATCACTGAGGGTTCTGGTATCACCCCAGCAATAGGACATGGCTGGTGCCAGCATCACCAGGGGTGCTGGTGTCACCCCCAGCAATGGGACATGGGTGGTGCCAGCATCACTGGGGGTTCTGGTATCACCCTGGCAATGGGACGTGGCTGGTGCCAGCATCACCGGGGGCTCCTGGTGTCACCCCCAGCAATGGGACATAGGTGGTGCCAGCATCACTGAGGGTTCTGGTATCACCCCAGCAATAGGACATGGCTGGTGCCAGCATCACCAGGGGTGCTGGTGTCACCCCCAGCAATGGGACATGGGTGGTGCCAGCATCACTGGGGGTTCTGGTATCACCCTGGCAATGGGACGTGGCTGGTGCCAGCATCACCGGGGGCTCCTGGTGTCACCCCCAGCAATGGGACATAGGTGGTGCCAGCATCACTGAGGGTTCTGGTATCACCCCAGCAATAGGACATGGCTGGTGCCAGCATCACCAGGGGTGCTGGTGTCACCCCCAGCAATGGGACATGGGTGGTGCCAGCATCACTGGGGGTTCTGGTATCACCCTGGCAATGGGACGTGGCTGGTGCCAGCATCACCGGGGGCTCCTGGTGTCACCCCCAGCAATGGGACATAGGTGGTGCCAGCATCACTGAGGGTTCTGGTATCACCCCAGCAATAGGACATGGCTGGTGCCAGCATCACCAGGGGTGCTGGTGTCACCCCCAGCAATGGGACATGGGTGGTGCCAGCATCACTGGGGGTTCTGGTATCACCCTGGCAATGGGACGTGGCTGGTGCCAGCATCACCGGGGGCTCCTGGTGTCACCCCCAGCAATGGGACATAGGTGGTGCCAGCATCACTGAGGGTTCTGGTATCACCCCAGCAATAGGACATGGCTGGTGCCAGCATCACCAGGGGTGCTGGTGTCACCCCCAGCAATGGGACATGGGTGGTGCCAGCATCACTGGGGGTTCTGGTATCACCCTGGCAATGGGACGTGGCTGGTGCCAGCATCACCGGGGGCTCCTGGTGTCACCCCCAGCAATGGGACATAGGTGGTGCCAGCATCACTGAGGGTTCTGGTATCACCCCAGCAATAGGACATGGCTGGTGCCAGCATCACCAGGGGTGCTGGTGTCACCCCCAGCAATGGGACATGGGTGGTGCCAGCATCACTGGGGGTTCTGGTATCACCCTGGCAATGGGACGTGGCTGGTGCCAGCATCACCGGGGGCTCCTGGTGTCACCCCCAGCAATGGGACATAGGTGGTGCCAGCATCACTGAGGGTTCTGGTATCACCCCAGCAATAGGACATGGCTGGTGCCAGCATCACCAGGGGTGCTGGTGTCACCCCCAGCAATGGGACATGGGTGGTGCCAGCATCACTGGGGGTTCTGGTATCACCCTGGCAATGGGACGTGGCTGGTGCCAGCATCACCGGGGGCTCCTGGTGTCACCCCCAGCAATGGGACATAGGTGGTGCCAGCATCACTGAGGGTTCTGGTATCACCCCAGCAATAGGACATGGCTGGTGCCAGCATCACCAGGGGTGCTGGTGTCACCCCCAGCAATGGGACATGGGTGGTGCCAGCATCACTGGGGGTTCTGGTATCACCCTGGCAATGGGACGTGGCTGGTGCCAGCATCACCGGGGGCTCCTGGTGTCACCCCCAGCAATGGGACATAGGTGGTGCCAGCATCACTGAGGGTTCTGGTATCACCCCAGCAATAGGACATGGCTGGTGCCAGCATCACCAGGGGTGCTGGTGTCACCCCCAGCAATGGGACATGGGTGGTGCCAGCATCACTGGGGGTTCTGGTATCACCCTGGCAATGGGACGTGGCTGGTGCCAGCATCACCGGGGGCTCCTGGTGTCACCCCCAGCAATGGGACATAGGTGGTGCCAGCATCACTGAGGGTTCTGGTATCACCCCAGCAATAGGACATGGCTGGTGCCAGCATCACCAGGGGTGCTGGTGTCACCCCCAGCAATGGGACATGGGTGGTGCCAGCATCACTGGGGGTTCTGGTATCACCCTGGCAATGGGACGTGGCTGGTGCCAGCATCACCGGGGGCTCCTGGTGTCACCCCCAGCAATGGGACATAGGTGGTGCCAGCATCACTGAGGGTTCTGGTATCACCCCAGCAATAGGACATGGCTGGTGCCAGCATCACCAGGGGTGCTGGTGTCACCCCCAGCAATGGGACATGGGTGGTGCCAGCATCACTGGGGGTTCTGGTATCACCCTGGCAATGGGACGTGGCTGGTGCCAGCATCACCGGGGGCTCCTGGTGTCACCCCCAGCAATGGGACATAGGTGGTGCCAGCATCACTGAGGGTTCTGGTATCACCCCAGCAATAGGACATGGCTGGTGCCAGCATCACCAGGGGTGCTGGTGTCACCCCCAGCAATGGGACATGGGTGGTGCCAGCATCACTGGGGGTTCTGGTATCACCCTGGCAATGGGACGTGGCTGGTGCCAGCATCACCGGGGGCTCCTGGTGTCACCCCCAGCAATGGGACATAGGTGGTGCCAGCATCACTGAGGGTTCTGGTATCACCCCAGCAATAGGACATGGCTGGTGCCAGCATCACCAGGGGTGCTGGTGTCACCCCCAGCAATGGGACATGGGTGGTGCCAGCATCACTGGGGGTTCTGGTATCACCCTGGCAATGGGACGTGGCTGGTGCCAGCATCACCGGGGGCTCCTGGTGTCACCCCCAGCAATGGGTGCAGGCTGGACCCCCCTCGCTTTCCAAACTCCTCCTCCGAGAGGGTCTGGCTGCGGCTGGGGGCAGTCTTCACCTCCGACTGTACAGAAGCGCTCAGACCCCCGGTTGTGCCACGGAGTCGGTTTATTTCAGCTCTGGCAGGGTGTCTCCGAGGAGAGATCCCTCTCGGTTGTTTCCCTGAGCCTTTTATGGCCCCACAGTGTATTTATTACACAAGGGGTTCACGTGTCTGTCCGCACAGCATGTGTGGACTTTTTGTCCAAACAGTTTGTTTAATAGCTGCTTTTCCTCTGTGATGACTGGAGTATCATCTTTCCAATTTTATTGCGTCATGCAGTTTCACCATCCTCCCATCTTATCCGCACTCGGGTATCGTTTGTCTTCTGTTGACTTCAGATAGAACAGTTTCTCTCTTTCTTTGAAGGTCCTTTCCTTCAGTTACAGGCTTGGACCAGTTTATCTCTTTGTGCAAGACTCCCAGTTCTTCGCCTTTTTGACTAAGCAAAGGTTCAACTAAAGTTCAGTTACGGTTTGCGGCCCAAGGTTCCCGCGCTCCACTCGCTCATGCCAAGTGAAGTCACTCATGCCAAGAAAAGCCACTCAAGTTTCAATTCAACCTAATATTAAGTGATCACACCATTAATTCTAATGTTTTATAAGTGAACTATTTTAATTCCCAGTGTAAGGGTATGGGGTAGGGGCAGGGACAGGGACAGAGATAGAGACAGGGCAGGGGTACGGGCAGGGTTAGGTGTATGGCTGGGGCAGGGATTTCGGCAGGAGCAGGGATGGGTGTCCTCTTAGTGTTGGGTGACAACAGGGCAGGGACCGGGGCAGGAATACAGGCAGGGGCAGGGATATGGGCAAGGATGTGGGCAGGGGCAGGGATACAGGCAGGGATGTGGGCAGTGGCAGGGGCGGGGATGCAGGCAGGGATGTGGGCAGGGGTAGAGACAGATGGGGACATGGGCGGTTATGGGCAAGGACAGTGATGGGAATGGGGGTAGAAATAGGGACAGGAGCTGGTATTTGGGCAGGGATGGGGATACAGGCAAGGACAGGGATGAGGGCAGAAGCAGAGATACAGGCAGGGGCAGGAGCAGGGAAAAGGACAGAAGCAGGGACACATGCAGGTGTGCAGGCAGGGGCAGGGACAGGTAAAGGGACAGGGATACAGGCAGGGATGTGGGCAGGAACTGGTGCCACAAACATTTCGCACCCGGCCCCCGTGGCCTGAGGAGCGAGGCCAGGACGCCAAGGCGAGAACAAGAGTCATTCTTTATTTGCACCCATGGAGTGTCCCAGCCAAATGGGGGCACCCCAAACGTGGTGTCACACGCGGCGCTCACACCCCCCGAGCGCTGGGGTACAGCACAGCTTGGCCAATCCCCACTTACCCACCCCCACACTTACCCCACCTCCTTCACAAAGCCACTCCAATTCTATGGCAGCGGTGGCCTTTTCCTCACCCAGGTGTCCCTGGAGTCCGTCTTGCTACAGGTATTTATCTGTGAGGGCAGGCCAGGAGGGTCTCGGGGGGGTGTCGGAGGGGCTGGGGTGCTGGCCTTCTCTCGCAAGTCCAGGGGTGGCCTTCACCCTTCGGCTGGGGTTGTCCTACTCGTCATCATCATCATCTTCCTCCTCTTCCTCCTCCTCCTCCTTGCAATGAGCCGGCATCCTGTAGCCATGCCTGATGAGCTGTAACTATGCAGTATATGATTTAAAAATATATATATTTCTCTCTCTTAAGAAAGTTCATACAATTTCATACTATAATGACTAATTTGCACACTATTTAGGGAATGAGATTTTCCTTACAAGACGCAGGCAGGGGCAGGAGAAGGGACATGGGCAGGGACAGTGATGTGTCAGGGGTGGAAACAGTGATGGGACAGGGACAGGGGCAGAGATTTGGGCAAGGACAAGGGCAGAGACACAGGAAGGTGCAGGGACAGGGACAGAAGCAGGGACACAGGCAGGGATACGGGCAGGGACAGGGATACGGGCAGGGATACAGGCAGGGACAGTGCTGGGGCAGG